GGCCACAGAAACTGGTGAAACGTTACGAAGGACAACCTTCAGAACACGGCCAAAGAGCCCGAAAAACCCACAACAACCATTAGATCATAAAGAGCTTATCTTGAGGAGAAATGTAGGGAATAAATATTTTAAATAAATAAATTTAAATAAATTGTGTAAATTATCTAGGTTTGCAAGACAATTTTAAAGCAGCTTTAAAATATCCTTTGTTTTCCCTGGGCATGAATGCCTGGAAGCTGGGTCCTCACTAATGAAACCACAAAAATGCAGCCAGAATTCAATGAACGTAAGGCAACCTACATCCATGGTGCTGGCAGTCAGAATGCCAGGCAATGCTATCAGGGACAGGGCTTGTAAGTGTTCTATTTTTGTCCTGTGAGGTTTACCAAGCCCTCCCACTTGTCAGGGAAGGAAGAAGTCTGGCTTTGTTTATTCCATCTGTTGATGTCCTCTGACAGGCAACATGAAGGTGTTGGGAGAGGCCCAGCCCAAGCATCATCTTTTCTTTCTTCCAGCCTGTCAAATACATTCTATCCAGCTGGAGCCTTTGTTATATTTGTTTTAATTATTGGAATAAAGTTATTTGTGGGCCCCTATGGAGTAATTTCATTAGAGAGAGGGGTAAGGAGGAGGAGCTCTCTTTTTTTAAAAGAGCATGTTCCAGATCAGAACTGTAATCCTGGGAAAAAAGAAGTTCTGGCATTGTGAGCCTCTCTTTGGTGAGATGTTATCCGTGTGTATATTTAAGCTTCAGAAGTAGATTGTTTTCCATGGAGTAACTTTGATCTCCTGTTCAGCAGCTTCTGTAGTTTTTCCCATTTGATTTCTGGATTATGTTTTCCTTCTGTGCTCTGTATTTTTCCTCCATCTTCATTTCCTGTATTTTGGGTTATAAAACTTAGAAGATGTTGATCCTGTGCTCATGCAGTCATTAACTTTTCCACTTGCTTGCTTGAGCCTCCAGACCAAAGATGCAAAAAATACACATTTTTGGATGTAGTTGATTTGTAACTCCAATCCCCACCATCCCTTAACATTGGCTATATTATCTATAGTTGATTCAGGTTGCAGTCTAATCACATTTTATGGGGTCACACTTTCGATACAGATGGCACATGAAGAAAATGCAGTAATGCTTGGAAAAGTTGAGGGCTGTAGAAAAAGAGGAAGACCAGATGGGAGATGGATTGACTCAATAAAGGAGACCTGAGCTTTGGGTTTGCAAGAACTGAGCAGGGCCCTCATTCATAGGGTTGCCAGAAGTCAGAAGTGATTTGGCAGCACATAACAATAAGGATGTCCTGTAATAATGGATTGTGGAAGCTGTAGTCTCAGACATCTGGAGAGCCAAAGGTTTTGTACACCCCCAAATCACAGAGTTGGAAGGTATTCCAAGAATTGCCCACCCAGTGAAGGAAATCGACAGGTAAAGCATCCTTTTTAGATTGCCATGCAACATCTGTTGAAAAGATCCAATGAAAATGAGTCCACCACCTTTCAAGATAGCTTGTTCCATTATCAGACAGCTCTTACTATCAGGAAGTTATTCTGAATGTTTAGTCAAAATCTTTTTTTGTAATTTGAATCCAGCTGTTCATATCCTGCCCTCAGGAGTAGGAGAAACCAAGCTTGCTCCATCTTCTATGTGACAGTCCTTCACTGGCTATTATATCATTTCTCAATTTTCTCTTCTCCAGCCTATACATCCCTCACTCCTTAAACAATTCCTCTTAGGGCCAGACTCATTAACATTTTGATCACCTTCTTCCTGAAAAATTTCAACTTGACCATACCCTTATTATGATGTGTTGCCAGAATTATACAACATGTACAATCATAATGACCATAACAGTTAGGAAGTGGCATTTAAGGTAAGGAATGAAAGCACAGATGAATGGGAACAAATGTTTCTGTGGCAATAGATGATCTATCGTTCATTTCTGTCAAAGTCCAACTTAGAAATGCGGCTCTCCTGCCTAGTCAGTGAGGATGGTAATGACTCCGTACAAGTAGTTGCAGCACTATATTAAGCTGATTTTGCTGACATTAATTTTCATTGGGATGAAAACAGGGCTATATAATACAGTAGTGGTGTTTATGAACAAACCCACAATGCAATCTATGTGCCACAGGAATGGACTGCTTTCATTTTCTTTTTTCTAGGGTGAGGGTGTATGATGTTCGCCAAAGCAAACCTGTCTGCTCACTCTATGGCCACCAGCATGGGGTCTCTGCTGTACAGATGGATGAGTGGAAGATTGTGAGTGGAGGGGAAGAAGGACTGGTCTGTGTGTGGGATCAGCGCATGGGCATCAAACTCTGGGAAACACATGCCAGGTAAGACTACCTGTTCTGAGCTGGTTTCCTACCAATCCTGTTCCTAAATTAAATGGATGGTGATTGTTTTGAGCTATTCCATCCCAGTGCAACAACACTATTTGATGTACAGTGGACCCTTGACTTACAGACGGCTTGACTTACAGACTTTTTGAGTTACAGACTTCTCTGGCCGCAAAATTTAGGTTTGACTTGCAGCCTGAGAATTGACTTACAGACCAGAAAAAAACCAAAATGGAACAAAAACGGCCTGTTACGGGATTAATCGGTTTTCAATGCACTGTAGGTCAATGGAAAACACTATTTGATGTAGTTTGTGGAGTATTTCTCTGTGGCTGCTCCAGGTTGTGGAAGGCTCTCCCTCGAGAGGTTAGACTAGCCCCCTCTCTTTTATCCTTCAAGACCCACCTCTTATTTATTTTATAATTATTTATTTAAAATATTTTACCCCACCTTTCTCCTTAAGAAGGACCCAAAGCAGCTTATAAAACTGAAAGAAAATATTTAAAGCTGAAAATAATGAGTATACAACAGTGGTTAACATCATTAAAAGACAATATTTAAAACTATGAACAATAAATAAGGAGGCATCTTACATCATTAATAGGCAATATTAAGGCAAAGATCAATAAGTATACAAAAATAAAAAAATTTGCCACTCTGAGAAATGGAAAACACAAAAATGGAAAACACTAGTACTAAAAATCCAGTCAAAGCAGTAATGCTTGGTAATCTAGCTAAAAAGCACACACACGTAGCTGGCTACTGAGGGAAGGCTTGCCTGAAGAGAAAGGTCTTTGCCTGATTTTGGAAGGACAGCAAAGACAGGGCCAGCCTAGCTTCCCGTGGGAGGGAGTTCCAGAGTCTGGGAGCAGCGACAGAGAAGGCCCTCTCGTGTGCTCCCATCAGATGCGCCTGTGAAGGTGGTGGGACCAAGAAAAAGGTGTCTACTGATGATCTTAACACTTCAGCAGGCTCATAAAGGATGTGGTCTGAGATAGCTTGGACTCAGGCTATATAGGTTAAAACCAGCACATCTATTGTGCCCGGCAAGCTTTTAAGAACTATGATCGAGTCCCTGGATATTGGTGTTTTGCTTTTCTAAGTGTGCTTTTTAAGTTCCAAATGCTTTGAATTAATGGATTTTAATTGTTATTATAGTTTAATTGCTTTTTAATCTATAATTTATTGTGTTTTTGTTATTGCTTGTTAAATGTTGAAATATTGTGAACTACCTTCTGTCCTCTCACTGGCAGCCTACAAATGATAAAAAATAAATTAATAAGTTAAATAAATAGTCTATCTTCACAGTTAAAGAGCAATTTCATATCAGTTTAACTGCCATGACTCTTATTTAATACTGTGTTTCTCCAAAAATAAGACAGGATCTTATATTAATTTTTGCTTCCAAAAACCGCTTTAGGGATTATTTTCAGGGGATGTTTTATTTTTTTCATGTACAACAATCTACATTTATTCAAATGCAGTCATGTCCTCTTCTGGTTGCTGCACAAGGGTGGAGGGCAGGGTTTCACTTAACTGGGGCTTGTTTTGAGGGTAGGGTTTATATTACGAGCATCCTGGAAAATCATACTAGGGCTTATTTTCAGGGAAACAGATGGAAATAATCATGAAATTTGGAAGTTTATAAGGAACTTTGAATTCTTTGCTAGAAAGCTCTAGTATTAGTCTATGGAGCAAACTAGCAAATACTTCTATCAACCTAGACATCTTAAGATTTCACAGGATAGAGCTGTGGCAATTGAACTGGTATAAAATTACTATAACTGTATACTGCAAGATATACTCATTAGTATGTTTTCCAATACTAGTATATTTCTGTGCCATCTTCTGTTGCCTCCAATGTACCCTCTAATTTTCAGCCCTGCTGGGTTGGGCTAAAGCTCTCTCTCATGTAATTTCACCCCTCCGTGCGTGTGCGACATTTCCACCACTACCATAATCTTTTCCACAAGATCTTCACGATTTGGTATTTCGGTTTTCTTCCATTTCCATGCATGTATTATTCTGGCTGCAGTTATTATATGTATCACCAAATGGCTCTCTTTCCTACTCAAACTCTGGCAACATATTTAATAAGAATAATTCTGGTTTAAATAGTATATTACATAGCAGAATTTTCTGTAAACATTCATGTATTAGTACCCAATACTTTTTTTACTTCTCTGAATGTCCACCACATAGGATGCAAGGTTCCTTCTTGTAATTTACATTTCCAACATACATTTAATGTACCTTTATACATTTTTGACAATGTGCCATCTGTGGAACACTTTGTATATATTTTCTTTAAAGTTTACTAATTCTGTAATTTTTGTCATAATTTTTCATTTTTTTCCCAGTCATCAATACTGATATTATGTCCTATATTTTGCACCCATTTGGTCATACAGTCTTTTACCACTTCAACTTCCATCTTAATTTCTAATAACAATTCATACATTTTAAAATCAATTTGTCATCTGTTTCTAATAGTATTTTATCTAGGGATATTTGCTCTTCATAAAAACCATCCTTTTTAACTTTTACATATCTAGATTCCAGTTGTATTCTAGCCCACCAATGTGTATATGTATCTTGTTCTTCTAACTCATCTTTTGATTTTAATTTGCAATTTCCTTTTAGTAATTCTTTATATTTGAGCAGTCTGTTTACGGACATAAGGTTGGATTGTGTAAAAGCTTCTAATGGGGATATCCACTCTGGTATCTTTCTGTATATCTGATATCGTATCTTGTCCCAGGACCATAATAGAGATCTTCTTATCAAATGGTTATTAAAATATTTATAGTATTTAGCTTTTTTGTACCTCAAAAATGCATGCCAACCAAGCATCAAATCATGTCCTTCTAGCTTGAGTAGTCTATTATTTTTAAGAGTCATCCATTCCTTTATCCAGATTAATGCACAAGCTTTATACAGTGGTGCCCCGCAAGACAGGTGCTCCGTTTAGCAATGAAACCGCTTGACGTTGATGTTTTTGCAGTCGCAAAAGCAATCGCAAAACGATGTTCCCTATGGGGGAATTTCGCTTTGCAATGATTGGTTCCCTGCTTCAGGAACCAATTCTAGCAAAGCAATGATTTTTTAACAGCTGATCAGCAGTTTCAAAATGGCCGCCGGGTAAACAAAATGGCTGCCCGCTGTTTTCTGGGACGGATTCCTCACTGCACAGGCAGCGAAAATGGCCGCGCTTGTGGGGATTTTGTAGTTTAAAGTTCCATCTTGTGGCTATTAAATATTTATAGTATTTAGCTTATTTTGTACCACAAAAATGCATGCCAACCAAGCATCAAATTATGTTTTTCTAGCTTGAGTAGTCTATTATTTTTAAGAGTCATCCATTCCTTTATCCAGATTAATGCACAAGCTTTATACAGTGGTGGCCCGCAAGAGGGGCGCTCCGTTTAACAACGAAACCGCTTGACGTCGATGTTTTTGCGATCGCAAAAGCGATCGCAAAACGATGTTCCCTATGGGGGGATTTCACTTTGCGC